GCGGCGGCGGCGAGGGCTCGGCCGGAGCCGGGGAGGCGGCCGCCAGCGCGGGGGGTGCCCCGCTCTTGCCCGCGTGGGTGCGCCGGTGGTAGAGAAACTTGGTCATGTTGCTGAACGTCTTGCCGCAGCGGCAGCGATGTAAGGGGTTGGCGGTGTGTGCCCGCCGGTGAGCCACCAACGTGAGCTCCGTGCCAAAGCCGCGGCCACAGTCCACACAGAGGTAGCGGGCTTCGCCGCGGTGCAGCCGCAGGTGCTGCTCAAGCGACGCCGCTTTCTTGAAGACCTTGGAGCAGGTCGTACACTCGTGCGTGCCGCCGACGTGCGCCCGCCCATGAGCCAGCAGCCGGTTCGCCGAGCTGAAGCTGCGCTGGCACTGGTCGCAGTGGAAGGGGTGGGCTGTCGATGCCGGGCCGCGGGATGCCCGCCGGTGTCGCCGGCGTGCCTCGGCTGACGTCCAGCGGGGGGGACAGTCCCCACAGCCCCGGGCCCGGCCGGCTGTGGCCCTGTCACCTCCCATGGCGTCATCACCAACCTCTGCCACCACCTCCTCCTCCTCCTCCGTCTCTTCATCGTCTTCCTCCTCCTCCTCTTCTTCCTCCTCCTCGAGCCCATTGCGCTCTTCTTTCTCGAGGGAGTCAAAGTGGGTGCCCTGATGCTCCAAGAACTCCTCGGGAGTGGCACAGAGAGTGGAACACTCGGGACACTCGTAGGGCTCCATCTTCACTTCGGGTGGAGCAGGGAGGGGAGGTGCCGGTGCCGGGGGAGGCAGAGGGGGCAGCACCGGTGGTTCGGCCGCTGTAGCAGAAAGGTGCCTGGCCTTGCGATGAGCCACCCACAGCTCAGGAGAGGGGAAGAGCTCCTGGCAGTCCCCACACTGGTACTGGATCTGGCTCGCAGACTCCCGGAGGTGGGCGTCCTGGTGGGCCAGGAGCTCACCAGGGGACAGGATGAGCTGGCTGCACTCCCCACACTGGAAAGGCCCATCCTCGGTGCCCGCCATGAGCTCTGGCTCCAGGCCAGCATCCTGGGTGACCAGCGCCTCCTCCTCTGTGACAGCAGGCACATGCCGCTCCTGGTGAGAGAGAACTTCCTCCAGCGTGTTGTAGAGGCTGCCGCACTCAGAGCACATGAACTGGTGGTGCTGGAAGAAAAGGGAGGAGGCGAGGGCCTCCCCAGGTGTCATCTCGGTCACCTCTGTTGACATCTCTGTCACCTCTCCTAACATCGGTGTTGACGTCTCCATCGCCCCTGGTGACATCTGTGCTGGCATCTCGGCCGCCTCGGCCACCTCAGCCGCCACCTCTGCCATGGTGGGGAGGGAGAGTAGTGCCTGGAGAAAAAAGGGGAAGCTGGTGAAACATCGAGAACCTGAGAGAAGCAGGGATGTCTCAAGAGCTTCCTTGCCCATCCTGTCGCTCACCGGCCTCTGTCAATCGGCAAGCCTGCATCCAGTGCTCACGCCTCAGTCTTCAATGAACCTGTGGTTCTGTAGCCGACCCCTGCCCCAGGGTGCTGGGCATCTGTGAGAGAGACAGCCTCTTTCAGTCTGGCCTCAGACGTCACCCTCCCTCCTTACCCGCAGGGCCAGTTGCACCCTTTCTAAGGACACCTCTCTTTATGCCTCTCATCGTCTGCCTGTAGTTTCCTCACTGTTCAGCCCCGTTCCTCCTACTGTATGTACACACAGACATGCAGCAGTGTTTGAGAGCGCAGGCTTCTGGACCGGACCGCCCTTGGCTTGAATCTGCGTTCCACCACTTACTTCCTCCGAGACTGTTTTGTCACCTGTGAAACGGGGTAAAAGTAGTACTGACCACAAACACCCTGGTACTTGAGAAAGGTCAGACAGAACCATGACTTGGAGTTCTCCAGAGATGCTGTTTTTGAGTCCTAAGTCTTTGCGGTTGCCATTCCTTCTGCCAAGAGAGTTCTCTCCTCTTCTTGTCCAGCAAACTCCTGCCCAGCATTTCCTTTGTGAAGCCTTTTCTGACAACATCTCTACATTCTCAGGGTGATGTCCATCCACTCCTTCGGGTTCCTATGGTAACCTGTGCCACCTCTATCATAGCAACTATCATGAGTCTGGGTTGCGGTCTATGCTCCTCTCCAGACTGAGCATGCAGGCAGGGCAGGTCTGGTCACTGTAGGGGCTGATGTCACCAACAAAACCACGGACCCAGGCCAGGGATTTTTAACTTCTGAACTTCCGCCTATGTGCCCTGTCTCCCCTTCTACATGCGTGGGCTCAACCCAGACTTCTTTACACAGCAGGGGCTCAGAGGCACTTTAGTAAATGACTGCCCTCCCACCCCCTGCTAATTTTCTGAATCCAATCTCCACTGTCTCAGTCTTTAACTCATCTGTTAGTGCCAGAGGGCTGGTGGAACTCAGCTTACACCCAGGCATGCAAAGTTGCTCATATTAAGCTCCCGGAGGGATGTTAGTCTCTTCATCACTGATGTGGTTCCAGCACCAAGAACAATGATTAGCCCACAGCAGGTACTCAGTAGATATTCTGTGAATGAATAATGCTCCCTCCAGGAAGTGAGGCCATGAGAGCTTAACTCTCCCTGTGCCCATTCCACTTCTTCCACCAGGCCAACTTTCCTATTTGACCGTGAATTTCCACAACAACACAGCCTAGCACATGACTCTGTTTTCAGCTGATATCCAATAAATGTTCCTCGAATAAATGATTCACTAAAGGCCCAGGAGTTACTTTTTCTTAACTACAAATCCCAACTCCCTCACTAATATACGAGTCGCCTGGGCCCTGCACACAACGGCCACCCAATAAGGTATCTTCCTGAAAGTAGTCAACCCGGAGCCCAAGAGTTCAGTTCTTCCTTGTTTACAGCCCCACACTCCAGAGAACTCCCATGGGGCGAGGCCCAAGGCCTGGGGTAAGGCTTACACAAAGTAGGCACCCAGTAAATGTTCTTCCAGAAGGCTGCCTCGAGTAATCTAAAATTCGGACTTTTCGCCCACATTCCTCCCTTCCCAATTATGGGACTGTGTACTATCGGTAGGGAGAGACAGGGGCTTTTTATACCACAGATCAGTAAGTCCTTCCAGGAAAGAACCCACCAGGGGCCTGGAAGTTCAACTTTTCCGCTACACATCCCATTTCACCGACCGCACTTCTCAACTCCGTAGCACGAGAGTACCCTGTAAGGGCTGGGGGCGGCGGGCTCAAGGGTAGGGTCCTGCACGCCGCAGAAGCTTAATCAATGCTCTAGGGCACATAGGAAGGAGCGCTCTCCTTCCACTCCGCGCCGCTCCCGCCCTAGCGCAGGCCCCAAGGCTCTTCGTCCCTCAGTGTCCCCTTCGTTCTCCCTCCGCCCCCTCCGTACGCCCAGTGCTCTCTTCCCCCGCCCGCCCCGCGGCGCCCTCACCCGTCTCTCTCGCCTCCTGCAGCCCCCGCCGCTCTTGACACAGACCCTCTCTGCTCCAGGCGTGCGGGACCCCTCACTATCCACACCTACCATTGGGCGGTGCCCTTACCCGTGGCAGCCAATCAGAGCTGGCAGCAGAGGGCACGCGCCCCCGCGCCTGCGTGTTGACGCTCAGGCGGGGTTCGGCGAGTTTCTCCACGCACACAACTGTGCCCTGTGGGCGGAGTCGGGCCTCAGACAAGCGCCTGCGCAGTTCTCCTGGGCTGCTCTGCCAAGAATCAGAAAGTTAAGCGGTGAGAAGAGGGCATCATTGGAAAAGAGGGCCCAGGGAGTGGAATGGGTGGCGGGAGACCTTGACAGAGGTGTTGTTTCATGGCTGAAGAGGCTGAGCATCTCCGAGAGCACAGCTTTGGAGGCAGACACAGCTTTGGAGGGTACTTCCCCTCTCTGGACCTCACTTTTTTTTTTTTTTCAACGTTTATTTATTTTTGGGACAGAGAGACAGAGCATGAACGGGGAGGGCAGAGAGAGGGAGACACAGACCAGAAACAGGCTCCAGGCTCTGAGCCAATACCCAGAGCCTGACGCCGCCTCAACTCACGATCCGCCGGTGATCGCGACCTGGCTGGGAAGTCGCACGCTTAACCTGACCAGCCACCCGCTCTGACCTCGCTAGTAGTGTAAAATGGCTTTCAAAGGCTGTTGAGGGATTGATGAAATTTCAAAATTGACGAAAAGCTCTCAGCACAGGGCCTGATACACCGTGGGTGCTCCCTATAACCCATGTAACATGGACATAGTCCTTCCCAGTTTGTAAAACTGCTTTCCCTTCCCTCCCACTCTTGGGTTGATTTAAGGATATTCACCGGGCTTCAGTAGGTGACAATTGCCATCGGAGGGAGGGACTCTTTCGAGGTCACTGCTGCAGCCCAAGTAGAGCCAGTGCTGAGCCAGTGCCAATCAGGACCCAGGTCTCCTGCCTTCTAAGGAGAGATAATCCCAGGGATGGGAACCACTCTGGGTAGGGGACTTGTTTCAAGGCACGTGCGGGCCTTGGCCTTGACTCACCAAGGTGTGTGTGTGGGGGGGGTGGGGTGGGGTGTTGGGGTAAATAATCGCTACCAAGCGGCCCTGCCCCGGGGAGCTGCTCAGACACACTGCCTGGACTCCAGTTCTCTTGCTAGAGAGAGTGCAACTTGTAGGTGCAGGTTAGAAGAGGGGGTACTGGAAGGCCCTGTGACCTTGGAGGGCAGAGTTTGGAAAGGGTTTCAGAGGGAGGGGTGTTTGAGACGGGGACAGGGTGTCTGACTGTAATGGGGGACTGTGATGGATGACATCAGGAGGTGCACGGTCAGGATGGAGGGGTCTATTGCAATCGGGAAGGAGGTATTGGTTCCTAACATGAGATGCGGGAGCTTCCTGGTCTTGATCAGGGGAAGAACTTAGCTATGGGGGTTTGTGTTGGATGAAGGGAGATTTCAGTCGGGGGCATGAGATGGCACAGTTGTGATGTAGGTTCCTGGTTGCCATTAGGAATAAGGGGCAGTGTAATGGGGGAGTGTCCAATTCCTGATCATAAAGGGGCCTAGGCGCTATTTGAAGCCAGGACTGTCGGGATTGTGGTCCTTTGCCATGGGCAGCTAGGAGCAGTGGTAATGTGGGCGTCTAGGTCGTGATTAGGATGGAACTGTAGTACATGAGATGGATTTGACATGGGGGGCAACGAGGACCCGACGCGTTAAGTCACGGGCTCACAGAAGAACCCAGCAACCAGGTACCAGATCCAGTTCAGAGGCGGAAATCGCTCTCGCTTTGCGCAGGCGCAGCACTGGCGAGCTAGACGCTACGGTTGGAGGCGGGCCTGGAGGGGTGGAGCTTAGAAGCTTCACTCTGCGCTTGCGCCGAAGGGGCGTGGCGGTCGCACCTGCGCGAGTTGGGGGAAGGAGGAGGGGCGAGGTGACGCAGGCGTAATAATAGAGAAGGTGCCAGAAAGATCCAAAACAAGTGGCTGCGGCCGTCGCCCAGGAGTCGTCAGACGCCGGAACCCGGTGAGGATCCAGAGAGGCCTGAGGGCGACTGGTGGCGGGTAGATGGAACCACTTGGGTGTTGGGGAGAGAGCGGTACCGCCCTTGCAGGGCTAGAGGGTCGGGTTAGGGCAGCACCACCTGTGTGGGGCGAAGGGCTGCTTTGGTAGGCTCCACTTGTGGGGGGCAGAGGGTCGCTTTCGGAAGGTATGATTTGGGTGGAGTCGCGGCGCTGATCGGACAGTACCACTGGCCGGAGCCAAGGGGCACGTCCGGACAGTGCCACCCAGAGTCAAAGGGCAGTTGGCAGGGTGCCCTGGGATGGGCCCCCGCGCTTATTCGGACCGAATCACGTAGTCGGGTCCGGAGGCTGGTTCGGGACATACCACCTGAGGAGGGGCGTTCGGGCTGGGTCTGGGAGGACGAGCGGGGTCTAGCGTCTCGACCTGTTACTAGGGGACCTCGGGCGATACCATTCCTTTCTGGGGGAAGGGGGAGGCAGAGACGGCTGGGTTGTGAAAATAGCCTTGCCCAGCGGATCGAGGTTGGGGAGACGCACTGGCGGGGGTGGGGTCCGGGTCCCCGCGTCGCTGACTATTGCCCCCTCCCCTCTGTGTGGGTTCTAGGCCCTGGTTCTGAGCTTGTGCCGCCCCCCTCCCCCGGGTATGGCGCTGTCCGGGTTGACCCCGGCCCCGAGCTGGGAGGAGGATGAATGTCTGGACTACTACGGGATGCTGTCGCTTCACCGTATGTTCGAGGTGGTGGGCGGACAGCTGACCGAGTGCGAGCTGGAGCTGCTGGCCTTCCTGCTCGACGAGGCCCCCGGCGCGGCCGGCGGTCTGGCCCGCGCCCGAAGCGGCCTGGAGCTGCTGCTGGAGCTGGAGCGCCGCGGGCAGTGCGACGAGAGCAACCTTCGGCTGCTGGGGCAACTCCTGCGCGTGCTGGCGCGCCACGACCTGCTGCCGCACCTGGCGCGCAAGCGGCGCCGTCCAGGTAAGGTTGAATGGGAGGATGACAGACTTCCGGTGGGGACAGGGCCTTTCTCTCTCTAGGACTCTATGGTTGCCAGCGATATGGACAGCACCATATCAGCTTATGTCCCAACCCGCTCCGCCCCTCCTCCCAGAGTATCAATGAGGAACACAAGAGGGAGGAGGCATGGCTTTTTGGGAGATGTGAACTTGTGGAATTTGGCCACATCAGTGAGGTTTGTGGCCAGTGTTTATGGAGGGCTTATTTCATGCCAGGTACCACGGTAAGCCCTTCGTGTGAACTATCCCCTTATATCCTCCTAGTAATCCCATGAGGAAGTTCTGTTAGTGTTCCCACCATACAGAGAAGACCACAGGGTTAAGAGGAGTTAAGCAGTTTGCTTACATATAAGAATTGAATCCTGTGTGTTGAGCACAGAAGTTACAAGGTGTTGGGACTGACAAAGTTTGTGTTCCATGAAGCTTATATTTAGTGTGGGGGGGGGGGGGGGGGGGGGGGGGGGGGGAGCAGCCATTAAGGCAGGTGGCTTATTTTTAGGTTTGGTTATAAAAAGATTAAAGCAAAGTTAACAGAATATAGAAAATAGGCAGCGGTTTATAGCGAAGGCGGCCTTTCTCAGGTTGGATAACCAGTGAAGATATTCCTGAGAAAGTGACGTTTGAATGGAGGCTGTACTGCTGATGTGCATAGATCTCACAGGAGAAAATGCTAGGCAGAGGGAAAGACAGGCTTTCACCCCTTGGGTCAGGAATGAATTTGGTATCATCAGAGACCTGTGTGGCAGGAGCAGAGAGGGAGATAAGCCACTTGACACAGGGACTTGCAAATGACACATGTAGAAAGTGTGGGAGTCAGGATTCAAAGGCAGCTGGCTGGGCTCTGAGGGCTTGGCTCTGCCCTTAATCCTCTGAGGGAAGTACTCATGGAGGAGCAGTCCTAAGAAGATGAGGAATTCAAGGATTTAAAGGACAGGAGTCCTTTGTGTGTCTTGGGATTGAGTTGTTGAGCTCTTGGCTGGGTTATTAGGGGTGCAGTGGATAGTTGGGGAGGGGGATTGTGACCTTCCCCTGCCTAGAGATAACCAGGAGAAAGGCAGCACTAGAGAAGAAGTGACAGTGTTTTTGGAAAAATGTGTCTGGAGGTTAGGCTACGGAAGAGAAGATTTGGGGACCGTGCTTACTCCTTGGGGCCTCAGGGAGAGCTGGGGGCAACATTGCAGGGGCCTGACCATGACTTGGCTTACAGAATATCCCTGACAGTTGGGGCTGCTGTAGATAGGGGTGGGGTGGCCCCGGGAGGTCATGAGTCTTCTCTGTCTCTGTAGGCATCTAGCATCCACTGGGCAGGAAGCCTTTGAGAGGGAGCAGATGTCTGGGCTCCGACCTCTGGGGAACCTGGGCTCCCAGTGGAGCAGTAATCTATCTCCAGGTGGGAATTGGAGGCTGGGCCTAGGAGGGTGCCAGACGCTGTGAATACTTCTTTCCATTTTTCTCTCTGTGAAGTGTCACCGGAACGTTACAACTATGGCAGCTCCAGCTCTTCCTCAAAAAGGACAGAAGGCAGCCGCCGTCGCCGTCGCCAGTCAAGCAGTACCTCAAATGCCCAGCAGGGCCAATGGGAGACAGGTGAGCCTAGGTGGGTGGGCACGATGGCAGCGTCCCTTTCTTCCTTCTGAACCCTGATGAACCCGCTCCATCCTGGCCCATTAAGGAAGGGGACCAAGGGGTCATTCTGTCTCCGCATTCCTTTGTGTGTATGTGTGTGTGTTTATTCTACAAAAGTATGTGTCCAGAAGCAATGAATGGAATTGTTTGTTGTGGTTTTATAGTTCATTCGAATGACCTCACATGGTGGGTATTCTTCACGTGGCTGTCTTTGCTGGATACCTTTCTGAGATGTACTCGTGTCGAGGACCTTTAATTGGTTGCTTTTAATTGCCGTGCCAATTCATTTATGCAGCCTCCTCTTTCCTAGTTCCTGAATTATTCAAACATAACTTCAAACATACAGAGAAGTTGAAAGATGGATGCAGTGAACACGCTCATATCTTTCACCTCGATTCAGTAATTTTAACA